GCTGAGCAGTGGCTTGCTACTTGTAACTGGACCGCTGGTTCTCAATCAAGTTCCACTGCATAGAACACACTAGAAATCTATCATCACCACCTCCATGAAAATTGACATTAAAAAAATTATTTTATTGAATTTTATTTATTCATCATTTATTTTCATTTGACCAGAGGGAGACATGGAAAGAGAGAGAGAAAGTGTAAAAGCAAGCCACCAGGACTCAAATCATGGTTGGTCACGTGGGAGTGTCCATCACCTTAACCACCATTCCACTTGCTGATATTAACAAAGTAAAAATCCCAAAAACACCTTACTGATGATTACTTCAAGAAAAGACGCTGTGGAAGTCCAGACACCAGGAAGATGAAGTCTTCAACCCAGAAAAGGAGAAATATGAGATTTCAGAACAGCACGAGGTTGATCAGAAAGTTGTGGACTCATAAATTTTACCAAAAATCAAAGCCATTCCTCAGCTCCAGGGGTACCTATGATCCGTGTTTGCCCTTACAAATGGAGTTTATCCTCACAAATTGGTGTTCTAAATTTTTTGCCAAGAACCTAATTAAATAACTGATCATAAAAAAAAAAAAAGAGTAAATGACTCACCTTCTCCAAAGGTACAGAGAAGATACCTTCTCCGTACATCCTTTTATGGAAAACGGGCACAATCACAGTATCTACTTCAGAGAATCAATTGCGAGGACAAAATGAAATACCGTACAGGAAGTCTAGCAGAGTGAATGGAGCCCAGTAAGTAATATTGGGTTGTCAGAAAAGTCATGACACATTTCTGCATCGAAGAACATAGAAAAATACATCATGACTTTTTTTTTTTGCCACCCAAGGGAAGGTCATGGTGCCACACTGGCAACCAGCTGCCGCAGCCTGGGAAGGAGGGACCTGTGCACATAGGTTGGTCCCTGACTCTGTGTTTTATGAGTTAATTATATGTATGTGTCTTAGTCCATTTGTGCTGCTGTAATGAAAAACCTGAGACTGAGTGATGTATAAAGAGCGGAGAAGCCAGGTGGTGGTGTAGTGGTTGGGCAGCTGGTTCCCACATAGCCAGCTGCACTCTTTGAGTCCTGGACCTGGAGGCTGGAAAAACACACCGGGAACATTGCACACCCAAAGTCTAAGAGGAGAAGTCTAAGAGGAGAATGGAGGAGAGGGATTGCAGCATGGCCTTCCCTGCTGGGGAAAAGGAAGTTTCTCATTTTCTTTCTCTCTCTCTCTCTCTGCTTCTCTGATGAGTGCACACACCTTATAGCAAATTTAAAATAATAATAATAATAATAAAAGAAAAAGAAATCCAGAAATTTATTTTCTCAGTTCTGAAGACTGAGATCAAGGCACGAACATTTGATGTCTGTGAGGGCTGCTCTCTTCATGTCCAAGATGGCGCCTTGTCACTGTGTCTTTGCATAGCCAAAGGAGGAAGGGCAAAAGGCCTAGCCCGTTCCCTCTTGCCCTTTTAGAAGGCGCTAATCCATTTGTGAAGGTAGAGCAATTATGACTTTAATCACTTCCCCGAAGGTTCCACCCTTTAATTCTGTTGCAAAAGGGATTAAGTTTAAATATCAATTTTAGAGGAGACAAAAAACGTCCAAACCACAGCATTATATGATCGATCCTTCCTGATTCTTTCCAGAGCACACCACCAAGACATCATGAAATAAGAAGTATAACATCCTGGTGTTACAAATGATAGTAAAAACTAACACCTACTCAGCTCAGCCGTGGTGGTGTGCACTGCGCTTGTAGGTTGGGACCACATGGGAGGCCCAAAGGCCAGGCACAGTGGTGTGTGCCTGTAACTGCAGCAACTTGGAAAGGCTGAATCAGGAGGACGGCAAGCTCAAAGCTGGCCTGGGTACATAGTGAGACAACATGTTAAAATAAAATAAATAAATATATAAAAGGGGAAAAAAAAAAGCCCAGTGTGGTCCCAGTTGGGAGGCTGAGGCCAAAGGATTGGGACACTGTGAAACCCTATCTTAAAGACAAAAACTAAAAGCTAACACTCAATGCTTCCTGGGCATAGACACTGTGTTAAGAGCTTTAAATGTATGAACTTACTTAATTCTCCTTCAGGCTTGTGGGGTATACATTTTCATTACTCCCAATACTTGAGGGAACAGGATCTGAGATGATAGTAACCTGCCCCGGCACACAGCTGAGGTGCCCAGTCTCCCTGCTGCTCTCTGGGGTTTTTTGTCCACTGTATCCTCTGCCCTCTGGCCCAGTCTCTGTTGTGCTTTGGTTTCCTAGTGCATCACAGCCTCGTGGAGTTTTACTTGCAGGAGCCGAGAAACAAGGAGACCAACATCGAGATCACCTTCCTCAGCAGCAACGTCACCTCCTCAGTTAAGATCACCATGTACGTAAGTGTCTCTCTCGGCTGACCCCTCCTCTTAGGAGTTAATTTCCTTTCCCTTTTCCTTTTGCATATAACACACACAGACACTGGGCCAGGCACTGTGTGATCCCTGGTGCGGGCCCAGATGACTGAGCTGGGAACAGCACCCACTCCAGACCCACTCAGACAAGTGCGAGGAAACTGTCCCAATGCTGGGTCCAAGCAGTGCATCCAGATGAGGCAGATGAGGTGGGCAGACAGCAGTAATGGGGTGTCCCAGCAGGCAGTGAGGACATGAGAAACAGGTGCGAGCTGGGAAGCAGTGCTCAGAACTGCAGGTGGGGGGCATGAGGGAGGGCAGGCCAGAGCTGGGGGAACACCCACTCCTATGAAGGGGAGCAGTATGAGGTCAGTTACCAGACAGACTCTGGGATAGAGGATCAGTGAGCAAATAAACATGGATTAAGGGCCAATTTAGTGGGCAGGAGGGCTTGAGCTCAGCGGTTCTAGTGTCTGCAACAGGGGCTAATCATTTCCTTCCCTTATTGAGGCACATTTGGGTCTGGGGGGTGGGGGTGGGGATCAGGCTTGAAGCAAGAGGGTGAGGAACCTCAGCTGTCAGAGCTACAAGCCTGGCAGGGCATAGGAAGCCAGGGGCAATGTGCATGTCTCTTTAAAAAGCAATTGGTCACAGCGTGATTCCCTCCTCTATCCCCACCCGGGGGTGAATTTTCACTTTCCATCTGTGTCTCTCCCTGGACAAGCATGTGCATCGTATGGCAAAAACCTAAAAAAAAAAAAAATTGGTTGTCACTCACAAGCCAGCAGGAGGCAGACTGATCAGACATGACCACTGTCTCCATAAGGGTCCAATCCAGTAAACAGAGCCCATGCCAAGCAGTCTAACAGAAGGAATTCAACACAGTGAACGACTGCATCATTGGAAAAGTCATGACATATTTTTCTATGTTTTCCTATGCAAAGATGTGTCATGACTTTTATGGAGACTCAATACTTTACAATAATTTACATGTATTAGGATAACTGGAAAACTAGAAGGGTATGGGGGTGGGTGGGGCAGAGACTGGCAACAGCTCAAGCCATTACCACCCTGGGGCTGTAGTAATGAAGCAAGGGGTGGTGTTGGCAAAGCCCTCGATCCATAGGGAGGCTACAAGACTGGAGCTGGATTCACACAGGGAATGCCGTCCATCCAGAATCTTGGCCCAAAGCAGTGGCCATCTGTGCGCCTCCCATGGGTTAGACCTCACTGGAACCTGTCAACAAGGGAGCTGGTTGCTTGGCGACAGGGACATGACGCGTACATACACATTAAATGTATACTGTTGATGGCAACATATGCTATGACAGCATATAAGGCAGAGCCCGAGTGAGTCTGAGGAAGTAAGGATGTGAAGGGGTTGCAAGAGCTAAGCAGCCAAGAGCTGGTGGACATGTGACACCCCTCAATGTGTCCAGAGAGGAGAGGCAAGTCAGGGCCAGACCATGCCATGCCTTGATTAGCAATTACAAATATGTTAATAAAACACTACCCCACATGTTTATCAGACAAGGATGAGTAAATGATAGTTCTTGAGAGCTGGATGGGCCACAGAGACAGATGCTAGCCCATGACAAAATCCACCTAGGCGTGCTGACATTCCTTAATCTTCCTTCTTGTGATATGCATTGAGTAACAGAAACTCAGAGGGGGCCGAAGGCAACTGTGTTCCTCTTCAGGGGGCCCAGTCTTTAGACAAGTAATGGCGTTTCGAAGTAAAGCCCTACCTTGCACTTCGGAGGAGAGAAAGGATCTAAGATAATCTAGAGAGAGGGCATGGAGGAAAGGTCAGAAAGAGCTTTGCTGCTGCTGCTTCTTTTTTTTTTTTTTTTTTTTTTTTTTTAGGATTTTGCCATAGGGCGTGTGTGCTTGCCAAGAGAGACAGAGAGAGGGAACGTGAGAAATCATCTCCCGGGTGATGGTCATGTTGCAATCCTTTCTTCTCCATTCTCTTGGGATTTGGGGCACCCATGCACATACATCCAGTGTGATTTTCAAGCTGCAGGCTCTGGGACTCAAACTGTGTAGCAGGCCATGTGGGATCCAATGCGTTAACCACCATTCCACCAGCTGGCTCCATTTCTGCTTCTACGGACTCTGAGTGTCAAAATCCCAGTCTTTGGGGTATTGGTTTCTGACTCCCCCAACATATGTTACTTCTGGAAGGACATTTCTGTCACATCTGTAGCCCGTTAGTCGATGAGTCAACACTGGTGGAGCTGTGACGACATATAACCCTGGCTACATGTTAGGATCACCCAAGAACTTTCATAACTGCTGGCGGATGCCTAGTCTGCACTCCTGACCTATCACATCTGAATCTCTGGCACAGGCTGGGCAGTTCCACCGTGAAAGCTCTCTGAGTGGTACTAATGAGCATCTCAGATAGCACTGCCCTCTCCCAAAGAGATTTACCCAACACTTTTGAAGAAGGCTGCCAGAATGCGTTAGCTTCTATGTTTAATTCTTTGATGTTTGATCTTGCAGGTAAGAAATGCAGGTAGAGGGACCAGCACGTGGCATGGTGATTAGGGCGCTGGGCTCCTGCATGGTGGACTGCGGTTTGAGTCCCAGACCTGGCAGCTCGTTTTCTCTCTCTCTCTCTCTCTCTCTCTCTCTGTTTCTCTCTAATCAAGTTGAAGAATAATAAAAATAAATAAAATTAAATAAATAATAATAATTTTTTTTTTTTGAGAAAGATTTTTGCTATAGGGAAGAACAGGCACTAGCTGGAGAGACAGAGAGACAGAAAGCGAGAAATTACCCCCCTGGGGGGATGGCCATGCTGCAGTACCTACTTCTTCACTCTCCTCTCTGGATTTTGGGCATGCACGCACATGTGCCCGGTATGAGTTTTAAACTGCTGGGTCTGGGACTCGAACTGTGGTCAACTATGTGAGAGTCCAGCAACGTAACCATTATACCATCTGCTGGTCCTTGAATAATTTTAAAAAAAAGAAAGAAAGGAAGAAAGAAAGAAAGAAAGTAAGAGAGGAGAGAGAGAGAGAGAGAGAGAGAGAGAAAGAAAGAAAGAAAGAAAGAAAGAAAGAAAGAAAGAAAGAAAGAAAGAAAGAAAGAAAGAAAG